TGGAAAGTGACCAAGGAGAGATTCAATCAAGAAACAAGGAGGAACTTTCTGACAGTGAGAACAATCAACCAATGGAACAGACGTTGCCTTCGGAAGTTGTGCCAGCTTCATCGCTGGAGGCTTTCAAGAAGACATTGGACTGCCATCTGTCAGAAATGGTATAGAGTCTCCTGCTTGGGTGAGGGGTTGGACTAGATGACCTACAAGGTCCATTCCAACTCTGTTAATCTAAGAAATTTTGCATATGTGACACATCTGGCCCATGGGTTGCCAGTTTGACACCCCTGTTCTAGAATAAGCACTATGATTTACTCTGAATCATTTATTTCATTTTCCACACATCTATCCCTTAATACTTTCGTGTTAAGTACACAGCAGAAGATATATAGACAGGAAGTAGAGAGTAACACAAAAGGGATCTGTTTTGGCCAGCTGAAAATACAAGAGAAATGTTCTTATTTGAAACCCAGAAGAAAAGGTAGGCAAGGAAACTAACCTAACACAAGTATTGAAGCTACTGCTGTTTTCCTTCTCGGATTTCTACTAATTGTGTAGGTTAGATTTGCCCAGACAGAAGTAATTACAGGCTTCCGATGGAGTGCTGTTATGTGGAGATAGAAACAAAAGCTATCTAATGTTGTCTCCTGGTGTTGAAATAGCCCTTTCCTCGGCTTAAGTTTATACTTTGTTCTGAAATGTCAGCATTGCTTTAAAAAAAAAACAGGTCTCTGTTTAGAACCTGAAAGTGAAGGTCACATAAAAAAAAAATCTCATAGTTAGTAAATTTTGAATCCCAATGCAGTGGATGCCCAACTGCCCAATCCAATTCAAAACTACAAGTTAAATCACCTGAGTGTAAAATATTCATATCTGTACCAAAGGTGCTTTTTCAAAGGCCAACTAGATTTTCTTGCTTTGCCACTTGAAGACATTTCGCTTCTCATCCAAGAAGCTTCTTCGGTGGAGAAGGGAAGGATTTATGATCAATTCTCTACCATTCAGTCAGAATTGAAAAAGCTTCTTGGATGAGAAGTGAAATGTCTTTTAAAAAAAGTCCAGTTACCTTTTGAAAAAAAGCATCTTTGGGACAACCATGACCTGGGAGAATCTCAACAGATATTCATAGCTGTATGTGTAGCTGCATTAACAGAGATGTGTTATCGAGGCAAAAGTGAAGGAAATATTAGTTCAGATTCTCTATCCACCTTATTCTGCCAATAGCTTTCCAAGGCCTTAAGGTTTACCTATTTCAAAACCACCTCTAAATTTGGAGGGCCAGATGTCACTGAGAAGTTCAAAACGAAGAAAGAATTTGTCTTTAGAACAATGTTTCTCAACCGTGGCAAATTTAAGACACCTGGACTTGAACGCCAATGCTGGCTGGGGAATTCTGGGAGTTGAAGTCTACGTGTCTTAAATATGTATGCCAAGGTTGAGAAACATTGCCTTAGAATATATAAACCAGGGCCTCACATGGCAATTTCAGTGAAATGGAATTTATTCCATTTCAAAAAGTCACCTGAGTGGATCATTAATACCAAAGACTCTGGCAACAAATTCCATAAATTAATTTACACCTTCTGCCAGGTAAATATTATTTTATTTTGGTCAAGTCCGGTATTAATTTACACACAGGGCATCAACAATTACTGCAGTACCAACAATGACCATAACATTCAGCCCGCACTGAAGAGAATACTTTCTCTCACCTCCACATCATTCATAAAGCCTCCATCTCTCTATTAATGCACTTGTAAAACATCATAGAACTCACGAAATAATGAATCTGAAACATTGGGACCCACATTCCCGTCAGTGGCAGTTTCCCTGCCCTTGGAAAGTAAAAGAAATTTGCCATTTTGCTTCTACCACCAGGATAGAGAGCCACTGGGGAACTGCATTCTCTGGCATGAAATTGAAAAAAAAGAGGAAATTTTTCCAATCCCTCAGCAAAAAAACCAACAACCCAGCAGTTTCGGACCACTGGCTTTTTCTACTAGCCAAAGGATCAAGAGCTACCAAGGGCTATTTAAAGAGAGAACACTGTCAAACAATGATAAAAAAAGCCACAGCTGAGCGCAAGGTATCCGATTCCTGATGGCACGATGACTCTTCTGTTTTATTATCGACATGAGCCTTTCTGCGAGTCAATAACTGTCTGAGAAGCAAGATAAAAATACTGCAGGTAAGTCTATAAATAACCCTACTCATGGATGGGACATTGACATCCAACAAAGCTGGAAGGCCCTTAGGAAAGCATACCTGGTTCCTTTGGGTGCTGGGTGCGCTGAGCTGGACCCACCAATGGCTGCAGATTGTGATGCTGACCCTGCACTCTGCATGTTCAGTCTTGGCATTGATCTTGCTCCAGAGAGGGCTGGTTTATTGTAAGGCACAAAGCCCACCAGAGAAGCACTGAGTCCTGAGTTTCTATTGGCCCCCTGTATCCCAGTGAGGAATTTGGGACTTGTTCCTGATGAATGTCCAGGAAGATTCACCATCGAGTGCCGATACCGTGAGGTTATGGGGCCAGTTCCACTATTCGACAAGCACTGTTGGCATGAACAGGTGGGCCCGCTGTGAGTAGGCCCTGTGGCTGCGGCTAATGGGTACGGAGAGTCCACATTCCGACGGATTCTTCGCTGGTACCCAGTGGTTTTATTGGTCTGGGTCTGTGATACAAAATCAATCCCATAATTGTAACCAAAGGGCCCAAGATCCACCTGAGGGCTACTGAGCGAGAACGCTTGCTCCAAATATACACAAATATTCATCTCGTATGGAAACCAGCTTCCTTCATCGTTCTGCCACTCCCAAACCACTCCCTGTCCAGGTGCCGAATCAAGCTGGAAGACATGTCTGTGTACAGCTCTCATGGTCCCTAAGAGGGAAAAATCATGACAAATCAGAAAATAAAATTAGACGTCAAAATTAAAAGCCCTAAAGGGAGATTTTGTATAGCCCAGGAAACTGAGTATTACCATATTTTTCAAACTATAAGAGGCACCAGGATTTTGAAGAGGTAATTTTTTTAAAAAAAGTTTTTGCCCTCTGCACGCCTCGTTTTTTTGTGAAAAATGGGGCACCCAGAGTGTTTGAAAGACTTGCAAAGTGCTCCTGGGGGCTGGGGGAGCCAAAAACGA